CTTTCCACACTCGCCTAACATTTCACACTATTACACTCACGCAATCATTTACATTTGAAAATTAGAATAAAATATTTAAAAAATAAAATGAAACACAACTATTGTTTCGATTATATTTTAAATAAACTATAATTTAAGTTTTGATGCGATTATAAAAGGTTTCTTGATTTTTCTTAAAAAAAGTAAATTAAAAAAATTAAGAATAAAATATTTTTAAAATTTATGTTTAAGATATAATAATTTTAAATATATATGTATATATATATATATATATATTAGTTATAATATTATTTTTATTTTTCAAAATATAATTATTGTTTTGTAAAATAGATTTCAACTAAATTCATTTAAATCACTAAAATATAAAACTTGATTGAATTTAGGATATACTTTTTTAATAAACATTTTTTTTACCACCATAATTACGAATGTAGTTATAGTGGTATTTTATGTATTATCGGTTCTCGAAGGGCAACAATCGACTTGAACGTTGATGTGGACCCCACACCGGAGGAGCAGACCATTTCACTTTGGCTTTGATGCAGGATTTGATACAACTTATCGATCACCTCCACGCATGGGTTCCGACAGACTCTGCCGAGGGTGCTCGATCATTGCCATCCGTTGCATCTACTGGTTCGAGTGGAACCTCTTCATCTCGGGGCACAAAAAGAAAAACGCCTATGGTTGATGTAATGGAAGGTCAATTTGACAAACTAACAACGAGGCTGGACACATTTACAGATTACCTTGGCCAAGGTAATACATTGACCCAACGATTATCCGACATAGCTGAAAGACGGTGGTGGCCATTGAACGAGAAATGATTTAATTAATGAGCAAGTTAATGTGATGAGACGATCAACAACATTTCAACATTCCGAGTCAGATATATGGGACATGTTAGTCGGCATGAACCTAAATGACGAGCAACTTATGCTTCAGTGTTATAATCATTTGTGTACTCACGAATCACATGTTAGACGACTTTTTGACTTGCCCTCACATCTTCGTCTCTCCCAGTTGTTCATGTTCTTGAGTGGAAGTGATTGAATGATCTCGCTATAAAGATCTCAAAATACTTTAAGATTCATTCAGGAGCTCTTCACTCGTTATTCACCCAGCTGATTGGATTGAGATTTCCTTTCTGAATCTTCTCCATCCGAATGAAGTTGTCGAATCGCCACCAACGAGAAGAATGCGCATCGGTGGTGCTCGCAATCGACCCGAGAAAAGTAGATAGTACATTTGCCATAAGTGTCATGATAAGCTTGTAATGACAAATGATGTAAAGTTGGAAATAAAATATTTTTACTATTAAGTTTACATGAAATTTTCATTTAGTTATTATTTTATTTTCACTATATTTATATTTATTTAAAATAATAATTTACAATTATATTATTAGTTTTCATAATTATTTGTTATTATTAGTCAATATTAATTATTATTTTATATTTTATTATTATTTAATTATTAGTCAAATAATTTATTTAATATGTCAAAATTATTTTTTTATGGATATGCAATGTAAATAATTTTGTGAATTATTTATTTATATATTTTAATAACTATTTAAAAAAAATTAATTTTTTAAATTTGTTTCCACTTACAAACACTTTTAAATTTGTTTTTTCTTTTAAATATATAATCAATGTTAAAATATGGATAATTAATTAAAAAATTATATTTATAATAATTTTAACTTTATTTTATACACAAGGGTAAAATAGTAATTTTCTTCAATAATCAATTAAAATTATAACTTTTATATCTCATATCAATTAAATCACTCACAATTTTCCATAAACTTTTCTTTCACTTTCCATTCATCCAAACAACTTTAATTTCACCTCTATTTTTCTTCAAATTCCTCCATTTCCACTCTCTCAAATCACTCCAACCAAACATAACCTTAGTCTAACCAATACATGGGTTAGGTGCCTCTAAATCCACTGTAGAAGCTCTTTGTACATTCTTTAAAGAAAAGACCTCTCAAAGTAAAAGGAGAGGTCAAGAATAAACCTACAATTCAATAATTAAACATTAACTCAATAAAACTCAAGAAATAAAGACAATAGAAAATAAAAAGAAAAAGGAGGGAGGTAATGAGGTATATCCTTTTAATTATGTATCTAGTTATTCTTCTAAGACATTATTCTCCGTCCTTATTAGGTATGGACTCATCAAATATAATCATGGACACTGCATTATATATAATTGTGGGGTTTAATACTATTTTTCCTATGATATTTTATTGTGTCTCACCTAGTTAGTATTTTACTTGTCATGTTGCATGACCAACCATATATAATTGAGACATACTACACATAAAGAATTGAAGATGGAGACGATGATACTACCATTATTACCACTAACAATGAACCTATTTTGTTATTATTCTTTCATTTTGTACTTTTTTCTTTTTTTTACTTTATCTCATGTACTTTTTTTATTTTTCCTTATGAAGATACTACTCTAAACCCATAAATAATATTTACTCAAATCAATATAATAAAATGATATTCTAAAGTTAAAGATCAATCAACTATTAATAAAAATTCTTAATTTATTAAAATATACCAAAATACAAAAATATTTCAAATGCTTCATTTCTATTATGCTAATAAATAAAAACTTCATAGTTGAGAATAATAACAAGAAAAACTTACTCATAAATATATTTGAAATTATTAAAATATAACAAGAAATAAATTATAAAAAAAATATGTAAAATGTGCTTAAAATTTTATACCATATTGATTGATTTTAAAACATTACAAATGTAAAATCTTGCATAAGCGAGTAAAATCTCTCTTCAAACTACTCACACTTAAGTCAAAATGGATTTATATATCATTTAAGTGCGGTTACAATGTAATTTAAAATGATCAACATATAGACAAATAAATTCACTCAAATGTCCACCGTTTAAAGGTGAGGTGAGTCTCACTTGAGTCTCACTTAGTAATGTGCAAAAATCCACTTAAAGCGTGTGTTTGAAAACCATTTATTTTATAAAAATTAACTGGCAATATATGTTAAAGAAAAAATTGGGGTGTTGTGGCTCTCTTCCCTCTCAAGAAGATAAGTGAACTTAGTTTTGCTTTAGCGAATAGGTGAGAATTTGTAAGATGTCATAATATATCACTAAATCTCCTATTAATAATAAATTCTTTGAGTTTGTGATGATATTTATAATGAAATATGCTATGACAATTTTTTTTCACTCATAATTCCTTCAATATATCAATTAAAATTAATTTTGTGATGTGTTTTATAATGATATTTCTAGAAACAAAATAGATCATTTTAAAATCTATAAAAAAAATCAGATTTTAAGATTTATAATTCATTATACATTCAATTTACTAAATAGAAAAAGTTTCTTGTCTAAGAGAATAAAAGAAAAATAATTGAAGATAAGTGAATTTTTGGTAAAACTAATTAAGCAAGTTTCACGGTTAAATTTTTATATAAATACGTTGAGAAAACTACACAATAGGTTATATATTTAGTGGATCTCCTTTCCAACCTTCAATATCCTAGGACATATGAGATTAATTTAACATTTAACAAGTATTAATAAAAATATGGTTCAATTTAAATTTCACGTTTCTTTCTTTTATGCATATTTAAGAATTTATATATTTTTATATTCTTAATAGTTGAAACCAAAAATAAAAGCTTACAACTTTACCTTTTGTGTGAAGATATATGTTACTTGATTGAAAATCCTTATTTTTTTTTTTAATGTTTTGTTTCCTTTAAGTCCCACTTTATTTTAGAAGAGATATTATAAAGTGTTTATATAAAAGAAATGACGTTCAACTAAAATTTTGCTACTCATCAACAAATTCGTCCTTGAAGCATGAATTCACCCATATCCATAATTTTTTGCCAATTTCACCTTATCCACGTAAAAATGAACTTTTGTTTTACCCAGTATGTAAAAAAAAACCCTGTATATATATTATTTCATTGCACACAAGCATGTCACATCTATCTCATTCATAGGCAGAAACCGACCGTAGACCATAAGGTTCAAATTTTTAAGAAAAAATTAACTAATACCTCAAATTTTACAAACATCGGATTGATATCCTTAAAGTAATAACTTTTTTATTGATGGAGTGAAAGAATATGAGGTGAAATAAATAAATAATAATAATATAAAAACCTAAATATACAAAAGGTGTTTGGTCATCACAACTCAAATTTTTAATGCCTTTTTATTCCCTTTTTAAACAACGATTAAAAGCAAGAAAAAAGTTAAATTACCAAAATGAAAAATATATGAAGCTAATAATATTAATGTATAAAAACTTAAAATAAAAGAACACATTAAAGAAAAAATAAACTCGTCAAGATAATAACATATAAGAATCCTTTATATATAAATGGGGAAAGTAGAAAGGAAATTCTCTTAAAGTTAGTCTTATAATTAATTATTATTATTATTATTATTTTATCCGGAATATCTAACATACTTAAAGAAACACACAAAGAAAATTATGTCAAATTAAAAATAAATCAAATATAAAATAAAATAAAATCACATACGTCAACACTAATTAAATTCTTTTACATTTAATAATGGAGGACATAATCAACCTAATTTATAAATATCCTCCTGCACAACCTGTATAGTAAAAACTTCATTCCTGATTCAATAACTAAGAAGCTTTTAAATTTCTTGTCGAAGTACCATCTGAAATGAAATATTTTAGCATGACGTAATTAAAAAAGAGAAACATAAGGCACGAATTACGCATGCAATAAGATGAACTGTGTGTTGCTATATTTTTGGACGTTCTTTCTTAATTTAAAGTCCATCCTATTATCCTCTCCGGTTTGTCTCCTCCACTTTTTTGGAATCCTTTTCTCTCTCTTCCCTGGTAATTTTCCAAGAAAGTTTCAATTGTATTGTGACATCACGATATTCGATTTTTGGGGTGGGTTGGTTGCATGGTGATGAGAGAAGAAAAGAAAGAGCAACCATGAGCAGCGATTTCTATCGATTCGCAGTTTCATCCCACTTCAGCAGTTTCCCGAAATCCTTCTCTCTGCGAAAGAAAGTGCCATGGTGGTACCAAATCTTGGACCCTCGATCGAAGTTCGTGGCGAAATGGAACCGCACGTTCCTCTACGTGTGCATCGTGGCGTTGTTCCTGGACCCTCTCTACTTCTATTTCCCCATCACGGGGGACAAGGCCTGCATGCAAACCGACATCGTCCTCGGAGTCTTCGTCACGTTCTCGCGCACCGTCGCCGACCTTTTCTTCCTTTTCCACATGGTGCTCAAGTTTCGCACCGCCTATATCTCCCCCACCTCTCGCGTTTATGGCCGCAAAGAACTCGTCACCGACCCTCGCGATATAGCCTCGCGCTACCTCAAGTCTGATTTCATTATCGATCTCCTCGCCACCCTTCCTCTGCCTCAGGTAATTACTCCTTTTCCCCTCTTCATCGTTCACTCTGCTATTTAGGGTTTGTTGATGTATGTAATTGTGCTTACTTTAGTCAAAGTTTATCTGTAATTTTCTCTTGGTGAAAGTTTTATGGTTTTACATTGCGTCCAGTTTCAAAATCATGTTGCTGTTGTAATGCAAATTGCAACATGAAATTAGTATTTGATTGTACATAATTTTAAAAATATTAACAATCATTTTATCTATAGAAATATTTTTTATAAAAGTGATGATTCATATACAATTATTTTTCTCTCCACACAATTATTCTATACCAATAAATTTAAAAATTAGGTATATTAGATATCATTTATTTACAATCCATTATATTATATAATAATAATTATATTATATAGTATAATAGGTTTCTACTAAATAACGATCATCAATCTATATTTTTCTTAAAAAAAGTAATATTATAATACTATAATTGAATTATTGAATGTGTTTGATTAAGAAGAAGGGTTAAGATATAATTTTTCCTCTTTAGAATTATCCATTTGGTATATCATAAAACCTAGTGTATCATATAAAGTGCTTTCCACACTCGCCTAACATTTTACACTATTACACTCACGCAATCATTTACATTTGAAAATTAGAATAAAATATTTAAAAAATAAAATGAAACACAACTATTGTTTCGATTATATTTTAAATAAACTATAATTTAAGTTTTGATGCGATTATAAAAGGTTTCTTGATTTTTCTTAAAAAAAGTAAATTAAAAAAATTAAGAATAAAATATTTTTAAAATTTATGTTTAAGATATAATAATTTTAAATATATATGTATATATATATATATATATTAGTTATAATATTATTTTTATTTTTCAAAATATAATTATTGTTTTGTAAAATAGATTTCAACTAAATTCATTTAAATCACTAAAATATAAAACTTGATTGAATTTAGGATATACTTTTTTAATAAACATTTTTTTTACCACCATAATTACGAATGTAGTTATAGTGGTATTTTATGTATTATCAGTTCTCGAAGGGCAACAATCGACTTGAACGTTGATGTGGACCCCACACCGGAGGAGCAGCCATTTCACTTTGGCTTTGATGCAGGATTTGATACAACTTATCGATCACCTCCACGCATGGGTTCCGACAGCTCTGCCGAGGGTGCTCGATCATTGCCATCCGTTGCATCTATCGGTTCGGTGGAACCTCTTCATCTCGGGGCACAAAAAGAAAAACACCTATGGTTGATGTGATGGAAGGTCAATTTGACAAACTAACAACGAGGTCGGACACATTTACAGATTACCTTGGCCAAGGTAATACATTGACCCAACGATTATCTGACATAACTGAAAGACAGGTGGTCGCCATTGAACGCAGAAATGATTTAATTAATGAGGAAGTTAATGTGATGAGACGATCAACAACATTTGAACATTCCGAGTCAGATATATGGGACATGTTAGTCGGCATGAACCTAAATGACGAGCAACTTATGCTTCAGTGTTATAATCATTTGTGTACTCACGAATCACATGTTAGACGACTTTTTGACTTGCCCTCACATATTCGTCTCTCCCAGTTGTTCATGTTCTTGAGTGGAAGTGATTGAATGATGTGCTATAAAGATCTCAAAATACTTTAATATTCATTCAGGAGCTCTTCACTCGTTATTCACCCAGCGATTGGATTGAGATTTCCTTTTCGGAATCTTCTTCATCTGAATGAAGTTGTCGAACCGCCACCATCAAGAAGAATGCGCACGGTGGTGCTCGCAATCGACCTGAAAAGTAGATAGTACATTTGCCATAAGTGCCATGATAAGCTTGTAATGACAAATGATGTAAAGTTGGAAATAAAATATTTTTACTATTAAGTTTACATGAAATTTTCATTTAGTTATTATTTTATTTTCACTATATTTTATATTTATTTAAAATAATAATTTACAATTATATTATTAGTTTTCATAATTATTTGTTATTATTAGTCAATATTAATTATTATTTTATATTTTATAATTATTTAATTATTAGTCAAATAATTTATTAATATGTCAAAATTATTTTTTTATGGATATGCAATGTAAATAATTTTGTAATTATTTATTTATATATTTTTTAATAACTATTTAAAAAAAATTAATTTTTTAAATTTGTTTCCACTTACAAACACTTTTAAATTTGTTTTTTCTTTTAAATATATAATCAATGTTAAAATATGGATAATTAATTAAAAAATTATATTTATAATAATTTTAACTTTATTTTATACACAAGGGTAAAATAGTAATTTTCTTAAATAATCAATTAAAATTATAACTTTTATATCTCATATCAATCAAATCACTCACAATTTTCCATAAACTTTTCTTTCACTTTCCATTCATCCAAACAACTTTAATTTCACCTCTATTTTTCTTCAAATTCCTCCATTTCCACTCTCTCAAATCACTCCAACCAAACATAACCTTAGTCTAACTAATACATGGGTTAGGTGCCTCTAAATCCACTCGTAGAAGCTCTTTGTACATTCTTTAAAGAAAAGACCTCTCAAAGTAAAAGGAGAGGTCAAGAATAAACCTACAATTCAATAATTAAACATTAACTCAATAAAACTCAAGAAATAAAGACAATAGAAAATAAAAAGAAAGAGGAGGGAGGTAATGAGGTATATCCTTTTAATTATGTATCTAGTTATTCTTCTAAGACATTATTCTCCGTCCTTATTAGGTATGGACTCATCAAATATAATCATGGACACTGCATTATATATAATTGTGGGGTTGAATACTATTTTTCCTATGATATTTTATTGTGTCTCACCTAGTTAGTATTTTACTTGTCATGTTGCATGACCAACCATATATAATTGAGACATACTACACATAAAGAATTGAAGATGGAGACGATGATACTACCATTATTACCACTAACAATGAACCTATTTTGTTATTATTCTTTCATTTTGTACTTTTTTCTTTTTTTTACTTTATCTCATGTACTTTTTTTATTTTTCCTTATGAAGATACTACTCTAAACCCATAAATAATATTTACTCAAATCAATATAATAAAATGAGATTCTAAAGTTAAAGATCAATCAACTATTAATAACAATTCTTAATTTATTAAAATATACCAAAATACAAAAATATTTCAAATGCTTCATTTCTATTATGCTAATAAATAAAAACTTCATAGTTGAGAATAATAACAAGAAAAACTTACTCATAAATATATTTAAAATTATTAAAATATAACAAGAAATAAATTATAAAAAAAATATGTAAAATGTGCTTAAAATTTTATACCATATTGATTGATTTTAAAACATTACAAATGTAAAATCTTGCATAAGCGAGTAAAATCTCTCTTCAAACTACTCACACTTAAGTCAAAATGAATTTATATATCATTTAAGTGCGGTTACAATGTAATTTAAAATGATCAACATATAGACAAATAAATTCACTCAAATGTCCACCGTTTAAAGGTGAGGTGAGTCTCACTTGAGTCTCACTTAGTAATGTGCAAAAATCCACTTAAAGCGTGTGTTTGAAAACCATTTATTTTATAAAAATTAACTGGCAATATATGTTAAAGAAAAAATTGGGTGTTGTGGCTCTCTTCCCTCTCAAGAAGATAAGTGAACTTAGTTTTGCTTTAGCGAATAGGTGAGAATTTGTAAGATGTCATAATATATCACTAAATCTCCTATTAATAATAAATTCTTTGAGTTTGTGATGATATTTATAATGAAATATGCTATGACAATTTTTTTTCACTCATAATTCCTTCAATATATCAATTAAAATTAATTTTGTGATGTGTTTTATAATGATATTTCTAGAAACAAAATAGATCATTTTAAAATCTATAAAAAAAATCAGATTTTAAGATTTATAATTCATTATACAGTCAATTTACTAAATAGAAAAGGTTTCTTGTCTAAGAGAATAAAAGAAAAATAATTGAAGATAAGTGAATTTTTGGTAAAACTAATTAAGCAAGTTTCACGGTTAAATTTTTATTTAAATACGTTGAGAAAGCTATACAATAGGTTATATATTTAGTGGATCTCCTTTCCAACCTTCAATATCCTAGGACATATGAGATTAATTTAACATTTAACAAGTATTAATAAAAATATGGTTCAATTTAAATTTCACGTTTCTTTCTTTTATGCATATTTAAGAATTTATATATTTTTATATTCTTAATAGTTGAAACCAAAAATAAAAGCTTACAACTTTACCTTTTGTGTGAAGATATATGTTACTTGATTGAAAATCCTTATTTTTTTTTTTTAATGTTTTGTTTCCTTTAAGTCCCACTTTATTTTAGAAGAGATATTATAAAGTGTTTATATAAAAGAAATGACGTTCAACTAAAATTTTGCTACTCATCAACAAATTCGTCCTTGAAGCATGAATTCACCCATATCCATAATTTTTTGCCAATTTCACTTTATCCACGTAAAAATGAACTTTTGTTTTACCCAGTATGTAAAAAAAACCCTGTATATATATTATTTCATTGCACACAAGCATGTCACATCTATCTCATTCATAGGCAGAAACCGACCGTAGACCATAAGGTTCAAATTTTTAAGAAAAAATTAACTAATACCTCAAATTTTACAAACATCGGATTGATATCCTTAAAGTAATAACTTTTTTATTGATGGAGTGAAAGAATATGAGGTGAAATAAATAAATAATAATAATATAAAAACCTAAATATACAAAAGGTGTTTGGTCATCACAACTCAAATTTTTAATGCCTTTTTATTCCCTTTTTAAACAACGATTAAAAGCAAGAAAAAAGTTAAATTACCAAAATGAAAAATATATGAAGCTAATAATATTGTATAAAAACTTAAAATAAAAGAACACATTAAAGAAAAAATAAACTCGTCAAGATAATAACATATAAGAATCCTTTATATATAAATGGGAAAAGTAGAAAGGAAATTCTCTTAAAATTAGTCTTATAATTAATTATTATTATTATTATTATTTTATCTGGAATATCTAACATACTTAAAGAAACACACAAAGAAAATTATGTCAAATTAAAAATAAATCAAATATAAAATAAAATAAAATCACATACGTCAACTCTAAGCCCCTGTTTGTTTGAACTGATTTGCGATGAAAGACTGTTCACGAAGACAGAAACACGAGATTCACCCACGTTTGGTTGAACTGATTTGCGACGAAATGCAGGCGAGGAAAAGGGGGAGATGAGAGAGAGAGCTTCTTCGCTGAGGTGCGAAGAAAAGAGATGAAAGTAATGAAAAGTCGCAGTTACCCTGCAATATATGATAGCGGTTAATGCCTAACCGCTATTATAACAGCCCTTCTAATAGCGGTTAAGCTTTAACCGCTATCTAATATACACTTTAGATAGCGGTTACAAAGGAACCGCTATTATAGCAAATTTCGCTCGAGCGAGATATAGTCGCTCAAGCGCAACACAACCCCAGACGCAACAAGGTTCTTAAAAGGAGCTTATAATAGCGGTTAAACCTTAACCGCTATCTAATATACCCTTAAGATAGCGGTTACAGAGGAACCGCTATTATATCCTCCAATTATGATCGAGCATTTCACGTTATGATCGATCAGAAGCAATTATCGCTCGAGCGAGACTAGACTCGCTCAAGCGAAATACAACCCGAGAGTACCAATTTTGTGCAGGGGGCTTGTCGCTCGAGCGAGAACCTTCTCGCTCAAGCGAGATACAGTTTAGATAGCGGTTACACAGGAACCGCTCTTAAAAGCTTACTTAGATAGCGGTTAACCGTTGAACCGCTATTATATGGTTTCAATTATGATCGGTCAGAATGCAATTATGACCGATCATAACTATTTTAATCGATTAAATCAAGTTTCAATCGATTAATACAATTTCCGCACAACGTTTTAATCGATTAAAACTTATTTTTATCAGCTTAAAATAACTTGAAAACTTATATTAACTAATTTTTTTTATATTATGTTTTTAAATTTTCTATTAGAGAAAACCTTTCACAATTCAAAATGTTAAATACTTTTAAATATTAAAATTAACTTTATCAAAAATTAGGAAAAAAATTAATCCAAAACAGTTCAAAAATGTATTATAATATTGTCAATTTTGAGTTTAATTATATTGTTCATTCTCAAAGTAGAAAAATATATTGTAATTATTTTAATTTAATAAAATATAATTTAAATTTTAATACTAAAATTAAAAGATTAAATAATAATAAATTTAATTCTTTAAATTCAGTAGTTAGAAACTAAAATTATAGTTTATCTGTTTTAAATAATTAAAAAAATTATTAAAAAAAATCAAAACTAGTATTATCTTAAATTTATTAAAAGTGTAATTAAATCTCTATTTTCTTAATTTTATTTGTTTCAAACTTCTCAATTCTACATTTTTGTAAGTTCTATCATTATATTATCACCCTCATCTCCTCCCATGTTCTACTTTATCTTTACAATAGTCAATATTCTTAACTAATTTATAGTTTTAATTATAATTTTTTAGTATATATTTCAGAAATTAATCAATTCTAATCTATTATTTGAAAAACTAATCAATTCTAATCAATAATTTAGAAAACTAATCGAAAATAATTAATTATTTGAAAAAATTATCAAATATGATCGATCATTTCGAAAATATAATCGATCGGAATCAATTATCGCTCGAGCGATACTGTACTCGCTCAAGCGAAATACAACCCGAGAGTACCAATTTTGTGCAGGGGGCTTGTCGCTCGAGCGAGAACCTTCTCGCTCAAGCGAGATACAGTTTAGATAGCGGTTACACAGGAACCGCTCTTAAAAGCTCACTTAGATAGCGGTTAACCCTTGAACCGCTATTATATGGTTTCAATTATGATCGGTCGAATGGAATTATGACCGATCATAACTATTTTAATCGATTAAATCTAGTTTCAATCGATTAAAACAATTTCTGCACATGCGTTTTAATCGATTAAAACTTATTTTTATCAGCTTAAAATAACTTGAAAACTTATATTAACTAATTTTTTTTATATTATGTTTTTAAATTTTCTATTAGACAAAACCTTTCACAATTCAAAATGTTAAATACTTTTAAATATTAAAATTAACTTTATCAAAAATTAGGAAAAAAAATTAATCCAAAACAGCTTCAAAAATGTATTATAATATTGTCAATTTTGACATTTTTCTAGTAGTGGTTGTTCATGTTCTTGAGTGGAAGTGATTGAATGATCTGAACCGGAGGACTTGACTCGCAAAAGATCAATAACATTATAATTATTTGTTTGAAGAGCATTAGTGTGCATAGGTTTATAATTTTAGTAATGTTTCATTTAATTATTATTCTATTTTCACTATATTTTATATTTGTTTTAAATAATAATGTATAATTATATTATTAGTTTTCATAATTATTTGTTATTATCGATCAATATTAATTATTATTTTATATTTTATAATTATTTAATTATTAGTCAAATAATTTATTTAATATGTCAACATTATTTGAATATGGATATGCAATGTACATAATTTTGTAATTGTTTATTTATATAATTTTTAATAACTATCTAAAAAAAGTTAATTTTTTAAATTTGTTTCCAATTACAAACACTTTTAATTTTGTTTTTTCTTTTAAATATAGAATCAATGTTAAAATATGGATAATTAATTAAAAATTTATATTTATAATCATTTGAACCTTATTTTATACAAAGGGTAAAATGGTAATTTTTTTGAATAATCAACATAAAATTATAATTTTTATATCTCATATCAATCAAATCATTCACAATTTCCAATAAACTTTCCTTTCACTTTTTAATCATCTCCATTTCTCTTCAAATCCCTCCTTTTCCACTCTCTCAAATCCACTCTCTCAAATCACTCCAACCAAACAAAGCCTAATTAAATTCTTTTACATTTAATAATGGAGGACATAATCAACCTAATTTATAAATATCCGCCTGCACAACCTATATAGTAAAAACTTCATTCCTGATTCAATAACTAAGAAGCTTTTAAATTTCTTGTTGAAGTACCATCCGAAATGAAATATTTTAGCATGACGTAATTAAAAAAGAGCAACATAAGGCACGAATGACCGAGTGGCGGATCTTGACCATTGATCTTGGGGGGCCAAATAATATATTATTAATAAATAATAAATAAATATAAAAGGAAGAAAGAATATGAAAGGTTGAAAAGATAAAATTGTAGATATATACTTAAATATATTAAATTATCATTAAGTTTGAGGGAAACAAAATCATAAATTATATGAAAGTTACAAAACTGAGGAGGGGCTCGGAGGATAAAATTGTAAATATACAAGTAAATATATTAAATACTCATTATGTTTGGGGGGGCCAAAATCATTAATTACATGGGCGACGACCCCCCTCAGCTCCCAAGAAGATCCGCAACTGCGAATGACGCATGCAATAAGATGAACTGTGTGTTGCTATATTTTTGGACGTTCTTTCTTAATTTAAAGTCCATCCTATTATCCTCTCCGGTTTGTCTCCTCCACTTTTTTGGAATCCTTTTCTCTCTCTTCCCTGGTAATTTTCCAAGAAAGTTTCAATTGTATTGTGACATCACGATATTCGATTTTTGGGGTGGGTTGGTTGCATGGTGATGAGAGAAGAAAAGAAAGAGCAACCATGAGCAGCGATTTCTATCGATTCGCAGTTTCATCCCACTTCAGCAGTTTCCCGAAATCCTTCTCTCTGCGAAAGAAAGTGCCATGGTGGTACCAAATCTTGGACCCTCGATCGAAGTTCGTGGCGAAATGGAACCGCACGTTCCTCTACGTGTGCATCGTGGCGTTGTTCCTGGACCCTCTCTACTTCTATTTCCCCATCACGGGGGACAAGGCCTGCATGCAAACTGACATCATCCTCGGAGTCTTCGTCACGTTCTCGCGCACCGTCACCGACCTTTTCTTCCTTTTCCACATGGTGCTCAAGTTTCGCACCGCCTATATCTCCCCCACCTCTCGCGTTTATGGCCGCAAAGAACTCGTCACCGACCCTCGCGATATAGCCTCGCGCTACCTCAAGTCCGATTTCATTATCGATCTCCTCGCCACCCTTCCTCTCGCCTCGGGTAATTACTCCTTTTCCCCTCTTCATCGTTCACTCGCTATTTAGGGTTTGTTGATGTATGTAATTGTGCTTACTTTAGTCAAAGTTTATCCGTAATTTTCTCTTGGTGAAAGTTTTATGGTTTTACATTGCGTCCAGCTTTCAAAATCATGCTGCTGTTGTAATGCAAATTGCAACATGAAATTAGTATTTGATTGTACATAATTTTAAAAATATTAACAATCATTTTATCTATAGAAATATTTTTTATAAAAGTGATGATTCATATACAATTATTTTTCTCTCCACACAATTATTCTATACCAATAAATTTAAAAATTAGGTATATTAGATATCATTTATTTACAATCCATTATATTATATAATAATAATTATATTATATAGTATAATAGGTTTCTACTAAATAACGATCATCAATCTATATTTTTCTTAAAAAAAGTATTATTATAATACTATAATTGAATTATTGAATGTGTTTGATTAAGAAGAAGGGTTAAGATATAATTTTTCCTCTTTAGAATTATTCATTTGGTATATCATAAAACCTAGTGTATCATATAAAGTACTTTCCACACTCGCCTAACATTTCACACTATTACACTCACGCAATCATTTACATTTGAAAATTAGAATAAAATATTTAAAAAATAAAATGAAACACAACTATTGTTTCGATTATATTTTAAATAAACTATAATTTAAGTTTTGATGCGATTATAAAAGGTTTCTTGATTTTTCTTAAAAAAAGTAAATTAAAAAAATTAAGAATAAAATATTTTTAAAATTTATGTTTAAGATATAATAATTTTAAATATATATGTATATATATATATATATATTAGTTATAATATTATTTTTATTTTTCAAAATATAATTATTGTTTTGTAAAATAGATTTCAACTAAATTCATTTAAATCACTAAAATATAAAACTTGATTGAATTTAGGATATACTTTTTTAATAAACATTTTTTTTACCACCATAATTACGAATGTAGTTATAGTGGTATTTTATGTATTATCAGTTCTCGAAGGGCAACAGTCGACTTGAACGTTGATGTGGACCCCACACCGGAGGAGCAGACCATTTCACTTTGGCTTTGATGCAGGATTTGATACAACTTATCGATCACCTCCACGCATGGGTTCCGACAGTCCCGCCGAGGGTGCTCGATCATTGCCATCTGTTGCATCTACTGGTTCGGTGGAACCTCTTCATCTCGGGGCACAAAAAGAAAAACGCATATGATTGATGTGATGGAAGGTCAATTTGACAAACTAACAACGAGGCTGGACACATTTACAGATTACCTTGGCCAAGGTAATACATTGACCCAACGATTATCTGACATAGCTGAAAGACAGGTGGTGGCCATTGAACGCAGAAATGATTTAATTAATGAGCAAGTTAATGTGATGAGACGATCAACAACATTTGAACATTCCGAGTCAGATATATGGGACATGTTAGTCGGCATGAACCTAAATGACGAGCAACTTATGCTTCAGTGTTATAATCATTTGTGTACTCACGAATTACATGTTAGACGACTTTTTGACTTGCCCTCACATCTTCGTCTCTCCCGAGTTGTTCATGTTCTTGAGTGGAAGTGATTGAATGATCTGCTATAAAGATCTCAAAATACTTTAAGATTCATTCAGGAGCTCTTCACTCATTATTCACCCAGCTGATTGGATTGAGATTTCCTTTTCGAATCTTCTCCATCCGAATGAAGTTGTCGAACCGCCACCATCGAGAAGAATGCGCACTGGTGGTGCCTGCAATCGACCCAAAAAGTAGATAGTACATTTGCCATAAGTGTCATGATAAGCTTGTAATGACAAATGATGTAAAGTTGGAAATAAAATATTTTTACTATTAAGTTTACATGAAATTTTCATTTAGTTATTATTTTATTTTCACTATATTTATATTTATTTAAAATAATAATTTACAATTATATTATTAGTTTTCATAATTATTTGTTATTATTAGTCAATATTAATTATTATTTTATATTTTATTATTATTTAATTATTAGTCAAATAATTTATTTAATATGTCAAAATTATTTTTTTATGGATATGCAATGTAAATAATTTTGTAATTATTTATTTATATATTTTAATAACTATTCAAAAAAAATTAATTTTTTAAATTTGTTTCCACTTACAAACACTTTTAAATTTGTTTTTTCTTTTAAATATATAATCAATGTTAAAATATGGATAATTAATTAAAAAATTATATTTATAATAATTTTAACTTTATTTTATACACAAGGGTAAAATAGTAATTTTCTTCAATAATCAATTAAAATTATAACTTTTATATCTCATATCAATTAAATCACTCACAATTTTCCATAAACTTTTCTTTCACTTTCCATTCATCCAAACAACTTTAATTTCACCTCTATTTTTCTTCAAATTCCTCCATTTCCACTCTCTCAAATCACTCCAACCAAACATAACCTTAGTCTAACCAATACATGGGTTAGGTGCCTCTAAATCCACTGTAGAAGCTCTTTGTACATTCTTTAAAGAAAAGACCTCTCAAAGTAAAAGGAGAGGTCAAGAATAAACCTACAATTCAATAATTAAACATTAACTCAATAAAACTCAAGAAATAAAGACAATAGAAAATAAAAAGAAAGAGGAGGGAGGTAATGAGGTATATCCTTTTAATTATGTATCTAGTTATTCTTCTAAGACATTATTCTCCGTCCTTATTAGGTATGGACTCATCAAATATAATCATGGACACTGCATTATATATAATTGTGGGGTTGAATACTATTTTTTCTATGATATTTTATTGTGTCTCACCTAGTTAGTATTTTACTTGTCATGTTGCATGACCAACCATATATAATTGAGACATACTACACATAAAGAATTGAAGATGGAGACGATGATACTACCATTATTACCACTAACAATGAACCTATTTTGTTATTATTCTTTCATTTTGTACTTTTTTCTTTTTTTTACTTTATCTCATGTACTTTTTTTATTTTTCCTTATGAAGATACTACTCTAAACCCATAAATAATATTTACTCAAATCAATATAATAAAATGAGATTCTAAAGTTAAAGATCAATCAACTATTAATAACAATTCTTAATTTATTAAAATATACCAAAATACAAAAATATTTCAAATGCTTCATTTCTATTATGCTAATAAATAAAAACTTCATAGTTGAGAATAATAACAAGAAAAACTTACTCATAAATATATTTGAAATTATTAAAATATAACAAGAAATAAATTATAAAAAAAATATGTAAAATGTGCTTAAAATTTTATACCATATTGATTGATTTTAAAACATTACAAATGTAAAATCTTGCATAAGCGAGTAAAATCTCTCTTCAAACTACTCACACTTAAGTCAAAATGGATTTATATATCATTTAAGTGCGGTTACAATGTAATTTAAAATGATCAACATATAGACAAATAAATTCACTCAAATGTCCGGTGAGTCTCACTTGAGTCTCACTTAGTAATGTGCAAAAATCCACTTAAAGCGTGTGTTTGAAAACCATTTATTTTATAAAAATTAACTCGGCAATATATGTTAAAGAAAAAATTGGGGTGTTGTGGCTCTCTTCCCTCTCAAGAAGATAAGTGAACTTAGTTTTGCTTTAGCGAATAGGTGAGAATTTGTAAGATGTCATAATATATCACTAAATATCCTATTAATAATAAATTCTTTGAGTTTGTGATGATATTTATAATGAAATATGCTATGACAATTTTTTTTCACTCATAATTCCTTCAATATATCAATTAAAATTAATTTTGTGATGTGTTTTATAATGATATTTCTAGAAACAAAATAGATCATTTTAAAATCTATAAAAAAAATCAGATTTTAAGATTTATAATTCATTATACATTCAATTTACTAAATAGAAAAGGTTTCTTGTCTAAGAGAATAAAAGAAAAATAATTGAAGATAAGTGAATTTTTGGTAAAACTAACTAAGCAAGTTTCACGGTTAAATTTTTATTTAAATACGTTGAGAAAGCTACACAATAGGTTATATATTTAGTGGATCTCCTTTCCAACCTTCAATATCCTAGGACATATGAGATTAATTTAACATTTAACAAGTATTAATAAAAATATGATTCAATTTAAATTTCACGTTTCTTTCTTTTATGCATATTTAAGAATTTATATATTTTTATATTCTTAATAGTTGAAACCAAAAATAAAAGCTTACAACTTTACCTTTTGTGTGAAAATATATGTTACTTGATTGAAAATCCTTATTTTTTTTTTTAATGTTTTGTTTCCTTTAAGTCCCACTTTATTTTAGAAGAGATATTATAAAGTGTTTATATAAAAGAAATGACGTTCAACTAAAATTTTGCTACTCATCAACAAATTCGTCCTTGAAGCATGAATTCACCCATATCCATAATTTTTTGCCAATTTCACCTTATCCACGTAAAAATGAACTTTTGTTTTACCCAGTATGTAAAAAAAAACCCTGTATATATATTATTTCATTGCACACAAGCATGTCACATCTATCTCATTCATAGGCAGAAACCGACCGTAGACCATAAGGTTCAAATTTTTAAGAAAAAATTAACTAATACCTCAAATTTTACAAACATCGGATTGATATCCTTAAAGTAATAACTTTTTTATTGATGGAGTGAAAGAATATGAGGTGAAATAAATAAATAATAATAATATAAAAACCTAAATATACAAAAGGTGTTTGGTCATCACAACTCAAATTTTTAATGCCTTTTTATTCCCTTTTTAAACAATGATTAAAAGCAAGAAAAAAGTTAAATTACCAAAATGAAAAATATATGAAGCTAATAATATTGTATAAAAACTTAAAATAAAAGAACACATTAAAGAAAAAATAAACTCGTCAAGATAATAACATATAAGAATCCTTTATATATAAATGGAGAAAGTAGAAAGGAAATTCTCTTAAAGTTAGTCTTATAATTAATTATTATTATTATTATTATTATTTTATCTCGGAATATCTAACATACTTAAAGAAACACACAAAGAAAATTATGTCAAATTAAAAATAAATCAAATATAAAATAAAATAAAATCACATACGTTAACTCTAATTAAATTCTTTTACATTTAATAATGGAGGACATAATCAACCTAATTTATAAATATCCTCCTGCACAACCTGTATAGTAAAAACTTCATTCCTGATTCAATAACTAAGAAGCTTTTAAATTTCTTGTCGAAGTACCATCTGAAATGAAATATTTTAGCATGACGTAATTAAAAAAGAGCAACATAAGGCACGAATTACGCATGCAATAAGATGAATTGTGTGTTGCTATATTTTTGGACGTTCTTTCTTAATTTAAAGTCCATCCTATTATCCTCTCCGGTTTGTCTCCTCCACTTTTTTGGAATCCTTTTCTCTCTCTTCCCTGGTAATTTTCCAAGAAAGTTTCAATTGTATTGTGACATCACGATATTCGATTTTTGGGGTGGGTTGGTTGCATGGTGATGAGAGAAGAAAAGAAAGAGCAACCATGAGCAGCGATTTCTATCGATTCGCAGTTTCATCCCACTTCAGCAGTTTCCCGAAATCCTTCTCTCTGCGAAAGAAAGTGCCATGGTGGTACCAAATCTTGGACCCTCGATCGAAGTTCGTGGCGAAATGGAACCGCACGTTCCTCTACGTGTGCATCGCGGCGCTGTTCCTGGATCCTCTCTACTTCTATTTCCCCATCACGGGGACAAGGCCTCGCATGCAAACCGACATCGTCCTCTGAGTCTTCGTCACGTTCTCGCGCACCGTCGCCGACCTTTTCTTCCTTTTCCACATGGTGCTCAAGTTTCGCACCGCCTATATCTCCCCCACCTCTCGCGTTTATGGCCGCAAAGAACTCGTCACCGACCCTCGCGATATAGCCTCGCGCTACCTCAAGTCCGATTTCATTATCGATCTCCTCGCCACCCTTCCTCTCGCCTCAGGTAATTACTCCTTTTCCCCTCTTCATCATTCACTCTGCTATTTAGGGTTTGTTGATGTATGTAATTGTGCTTACTTTAGTCAAAGTTTATCTCGTAATTTTCTCTTGGTGAAAGTTTTATGGTTTTACATTGCGTCCAGTTTCAAAATCATGTCTGCCGTTGTAATGCAAATTGCAACATGAAATTAGTATTTGATTGTACATAATTTTAAAAAAATTAACAATCATTTTATCTATAGAAATATTTTTTATAAAAGTGATGATTCATATACAATTATTTTTCTCTCCACACAATTATTCTATACCAATAAATTTAAAAATTAGGTATATTAGATATCATTTATTTACAATCCATTATATTATATAATAATAATTATATTATATAGTATAATAGGTTTCTACTAAATAACGATCATCAATCTATATTTTTCTTAAAAAAAAGTATTATTATAATACTATAATTGAATTATTGAATGTGTTTGATTAAGAAGAAGGGTTAAGATAGAATTTTTCCTCTTTAGAATTATCCATTTGGTATATCATAAAACCTAGTGTATCATATAAAGTGCTTTCCGCACTCGCCTAACATTTCACACTATTACACTCACGCAATCATTTACATTTGAAAATTAGAATAAAATATTTAAAAAATAAAATGAAACACAACTATTGTTTCGATTATATTTTAAATAAACTATAATTTAAGTTTTGATGCGATTATAAAAGGTTTCTTGATTTTTCTTAAAAAAAGTAAATTAAAAAAATTAAGAATAAAATATTTTTAAAATTTATGTTTAAGATATAATAATTTTAAATATATATATATATATATTAGTTATAATATTATTTTTATTTTTCAAAATATAATTATTGTTTTGTAAAATAGATTTCAACTAAATTCATTTAAATCACTAAAATATAAAACTTGATTGAATTTAGGATATACTTTTTTAATAAACATTTTTTTTACCACCATAATTACGAATGTAGTTATAGTGGTATTTTATGTATTAAAATTCACATATAGTAGACTTTTAATAAGCTTATTATGGTCACAGATCTTAATTTAAAGTCATTCTGTAAGGCTCCTGTGGATTAAAACTTAGTATTTCTTGTACACGAAACATGAAGAATTCGTTAAACCCAACATCAAACAACGTACATTTTTGTATAAAGGAAGAGGAAAAGAAGAGAAGAGATGACTCTTATATGTATGAAATAAAGAGAAAGATTATAAAATATGAAAGACAAATTAATAGGGGATTTTATCATTTGATATTTTTTTCTTGTTGTGTATGCAATGGCAGATAGTGGTGTGGTTCGTGATTCCGGCGGTGAAAGATTCTACGGTGGCTCATGTAAACCACACCTTGTCCTTGATTGTTCTCATTCAGTTTATTCCGAGGTTGTTTCAGATTTTTCCTCTGCAACGGAGAATCTTGAAGACTAGTGGACTTATTGCCAAAACTGCCTTGGCAGGAGCTGTATACAATCTTGGTTCCTACATGCTTGCCAGCCATGTAACTATTCACACATACTTCTTCCATTTTCCAAAAAACAAAATAGTAATACATTCTTCTACTTGGTGACAAATGCAAAATGAAATGAAATGGATAGTCTAATAAATAGATAAAGCTTAATTATTGCTTATTTAATGTTTCAAAACTTGTTATTTTTCTATATTTTGAAATACTGTGTGGTCAGTGCAGGTTTTAGGAGCTACCTGGTACGTGGCATCAATTCAGAGGCAGTACGAGTGTTGGATAATAACATGCAGAAGGGAGATGAACAGAACGCACTCTCCAACTTGTAGCCCTTCGTTTCTGGACTGTGCTACCCTCGAAAACCATGAAAGGCAATCATGGTTCAAACGCACCAGAGTTCTAAGTGATTGTGACGCCCTCAATGACAAAAACGAGTTTCAGTTTGGACTCTTCGCCGATGCTTTTACTGATCACGTTTCTTCATCAAGATTCATCCAAAAATACTTTTACTGCCTCTGGTGGGGTTTGAAGAATCTAAGGTACATTCATTTTCCATTTAGTTTACTTGTGCCATATTTGATGTTAAATGTAATTGTCTCTTCAAGTTTGGTCTCAAATTGAAGACATTATTAGGGTTCTCTAATTCGCTTTTAACCATTTGCAGTTCATACGGACAAAATCTTCAGGCTAGCACTTACAGTGGTGAAACATTGTTTTGTAGTTTCATATGCATCGCAGGTCTAATCCTGTTCGCGCATCTCATTGGCAACATGCAGGTAAAATATGAAAAACCCTATCTTCCACCAGACTTTTAAATAAAATCAATCACCCTCCAAGTTTTCAGTAACACACTTTTTAATACATTCAATTTTAAAACATTTTTTATTGATGATTAAAATTTATAAATAACTACAAAAATAAATGAATCTCACAACATTTTATGATTTTTGTTTTTCTGAAACTAGAATTATCTGCAATCTACAACTGCCAGAGTTGAAGAGTGGAGACTTAAACAAAAAGATACAGAAGAGTGGATGAATCACCGGCAGCTTCCACCAGAACTACAACAACGTGTTCGGAGGTTTGTTCAATACCAATGGCTGGCCACTAGAGGAGTAGACGAAGAAGCCATTTTGCGTGCTTTGCCTCTGGACCTTCGCCGCCAGATTCAGAGGCATCTCTGTCTTGACATTATTCGTCGGGTACGTATCTTCTTGTCACCACAAAATAACGTAAAACTTTTCAATTAGAGAATCATAGAGAAAGACAAGAAATGGGTCATTGCTGATTTCCCTTCAGAGGGAAAATCCCATTAAAATCTGAATTAATCTTTCTCTAATGAGTATTGTGAAATAGAGAAACGTCATCGAGAGGGAACATCAGATTGAAAGTAGTTTGTATAGGTTTTCCAATAAAGTTCAATGGATACCCTATTGCAATAACATCATCATAATGTATATAGAGAGAGCGATGGAGTCCTAATTGTGGTGGTGTTGATTAATTCACAGGTTCCATTTTTCGGGCAAATGGATGACCAGCTTCTGGACGCAATATGCGAGCGCCTGGTATCGTCGCTGAACACGAAGGATACATACATCGCGCGCGAAGGAGATCCGGTGAGGGAGATGCTGTTCATCATTAGAGGGGAGGTGGAGAGCGCCACCACCGACGGCGGAAGAACAGGATTCTACAACTCAATCACACTCCGGCCCGGTGACTTCTGTGGCGAGGAGTTGCTCACGTGGGCTCTCATGCCCGCCTCCAGCCTCAACCTCCCGTCCTCCACTCGCACCGTGAAGACCATAACCGAAGTCGAGGCCTTCGCGCTCCGCGCCGACGACCTCAAGTTCGTGGCCAGCCAGTTCAAGCGCCTCCACAGCAAGAAGCTGCAGCACGCCTTCCGCTACTACTCCCACCAGTGGCGGGCCTGGGGGGCCCACTTCATTCAGGCCGCGTGGCGCCGCCACCGCAAGAGGAAACTGACCATGGAGCTTCTAGAGAAGGAGAGCTTGTACAATGTGACGGACATAGAAGATGATGATGATGATGATGTTGTTGTTGTTGAAGGAGGTGGTGCAGGTGAGAGTTCCAGTAGACACAGTTTGGGGCATTTTCAAAATCTTGGGGCTACCGTTTTTGCTTCTAAGTTCGCTGCAAACACCAGAAAAGGAGTGTTAAAGAAGATCAAAATTAAACTTCCTGATGCTGATAGTTTGAAGATGCCCAAGATGTTCAAGCCAACAGAACCCGATTTCTCGACTTTCCATGACTAACTCAGAGTATATGTATGTGTCAAAGATTGGTTCCTTTTTCTTTGTATATATCTTCCAACAAAAACAAACAATTTTCTCTCACTAGATTAAGCTCAAGATTGTAAATATAGTATATTGAAATATAGACTATATAACTACAATAATAAATCATTTTATTAAATATTCCAATAGAAAAGTATATAAGTTCAAACAACGTTATCTCCTGCCAGCGTAACAAAATTATCAATCAAAATTATCAATTGCAATATAGTATTTCAATTAAATAAAAGTATATTCCACGAGTAACAGTTTTAATCAAAATTCCTAATTATGCTTGCTAAATAGATTAAAATAGATTGGTTTTTTAATAAGAGTTGAATTGAAATTAAATGACAAAGAACTGTAAATTGTTAAGAAAATATCAATTAAAGGTACTTAGGATTGGCTTCCCTCCTTATCCCTTTCTTATAATGGCTAAATCAATTAAGAACATCAAATAACCTAACAATGTTGATGTCACCTACTCAAATCATCCATGTTGATTCTTCACACATGAAATTCACAAGAAAACATAATAAATGTTGATTCCTCACACAATTAAGAGATTTTCCAGCATTAGGGTTAGAGTGTTAAGCAATTAATACATTCATTCCATTCTTGACAATTAACGTAACAAATATTCTTACCGTGATCTAAGGTTCAAGATATATTTTCCAATCATACCTCAAACATAAAAAATAAATCATTCCAAAACATAAAGGATAAGAATAACAACATCAAAACATAGATTAATATCTTAAAATATCACTATGATACAAAAAAGTTCAAAGGAAGTGCACCAAATCCCAAGAGAATGAAGTTAGTCACTCATGTTGGCTATTACAATGCTCCAATTAATGAAGAAGTGAAGAAATGATGAAGATTGGACAAAACCCTAATGGTAGTCGTGTCTCCTCCTCTCCAAGACTGCTTGTTTTTCTCAAAACACAACTTATCTTTTTATAAGAGAATTTGGATCGGGCATCGCATTATTCATTCGCTTAAGGGTTCTTCTTTCTTTTAATTTTACTCCAATTATGCTGACAATTGTGCTCCTTATTCTTGTATCAAGGTATTCTCGAATTCATCCTATATTAGGAGAAAAATATATTAGAATTAACATAAGTTAAGTGGTTTCATAACAATTCAATGCATAATTATATCAACTTTTTATCACTTAACAACTCCCCCCAACCTAGAATCTTGCTTGTCCCAAGCAAAGTAGTTTTTCCAAAACAAAATCATCGTCTATTATCACATTCTCTTCCAGAATCACAACATAAAAATTTTCAGAGGTGATGTTCACAACTCTAAATGAAAATAAAACACATAAGCATTTAAGTTATAGAAACCAACAAAGAATAATTAGTCTTCAACTATCCTCAGAGAAGCATGATCTCTCAAAAAGAGTTATATATATTCATCTCTAATTCTCACAGGTAAGTGTTTATCTCATTCAATCACTTCATTTAGACAATCCAATATTGATAATCATCTTCAAGCAATTAACAATTGTTAAACAAGACTTAAATCAAAAGGTCTTTTGAGGCTTGTAATGGGGCTGGACTAAGAAATAATTATTGGTTTTTCTGAGATATACAAAATAAAATATTTGAGAAATTCAACTCATATGAATGATTCTTAATTAACAATTCCTAAAGTCAGGTGTCAAACTTCATGCTTTTGTCTCTAACATAATGACAGTGAGTTAATGATCTCACAAGTTATTATTCCCCCCTTGAACTACTTTTCTATATATTTTTTTCTCATGCTTTTGCATGTATTCTTTTTGGCTTTGCCAATTTTTTTAAGCTTTGCTTTTCCTTTTTCTTTACACTTTTTTTTTAACAATACACCCCAATAATACTCGTAGGACAACAATATTATTCACTACAACAAAAATATTAAAAAATTAAAAATATTTTTTATAACCCCTTTCTATTTATCTCATCATAATAGTCTCTAACCTCCCTTTTATATTCTTTTATAATATATTTTGTAGAAATTTGAATTATTATTAGATTGAAAGAATTGTCACTTGCGGAATTCGAACCCAGTACCTTAGAATTAGAGATCGATACTTCAACCGAGTAAGCTACTAGGATTTTTTGATAATAGTTTATAAATAAATTATATTTATATATAAATAAAAATATATATCCGTGTAAATATATAAATATAAAATATATAAATACAAATACAAATATATATCGTTGGATGTGAGGGTGCGCTCGAGGGTGAAAGTGTGTGTCGAGTGGATTTTTAAAATTTGATGTCAAATTTGTGAGCGGGTCTCTTTATATGAGTTTATAATTTAATGATACAATATAATCTTTATAATTTATTTATATAATGATATAAAATAATTTTTTTCTTTATTTATTTTTATTTTATTTTAATTTATTCTTCTTATATTTTTTTCTTCTATTATTTAATTAAAATTCTTATATTAAAATAATTTTTTCAATATTAAAACTAATTAAATATTTATTTTTAAAATTATTTAATTTAACAAATTATTATAAATTAATCTAATTATGATTATTAATAGAACAATTTTTTCCTAACATATATTATTATAAATTAATCAAAATCATCTTTTAATAATTATTTTTTCCGAGACATAGATTAATTCATAATAATTTGTTAAATTAAATAATTTTAAAAAATAATTTTGAAAATAAATATTTAATTATTTTTAATAATGAAAAAATTATTTTAATATAAGAATTTTAATTAAATAATATAAGAAAAAAAGATAAAAAGAATAAATTAAAATAAAATAAAAATAAATAAAGAAAACAATTATTTTATATCATTATATAAATAAATTATAAAGATTATATTCTATCATTAAATTACAAATCCATATAAAGAGACTCGCTCACAAATTTGACATCAAATTTTGAAAATTCACTCGACACACACTTTCACCCTCTAGCGTGACCCTCACATCGAACATATAAATATATAAATATATTTGTATTTATATTTTTTATATTTATATATTTACATGGATATACATTTATTTGTATATAAATATAATTTATTTATAATTTTTTATTAAAAAATTTTAATAGTTTAGTGGTTGGAGTATTAATATCTAACTCTAAGATATTGGTTTTGAATCTTATTAGTAATAATTTTTTTAATCTGATAAAAAAATTTTGTTAATAAGAGAAATTATATATTTTTGTAGTAAGACGATAAGATTTTTAGGTTAAACTAAAATTAGGGCAACTAAATTGTTGTTATGGACTAAAACTCAAAAAGTAAAAAATAAAAAATATAATTAAATAAAAGAAAAAATATATACTTTTGCATTTTTATTTTCAAATATTAATTTTTTTATGAAATTATTTTTAATTAAAAAAATTAAAGTGATATATATATATATATATATATATATAATTTTTTTATTTTTTTAATTTTAATTTATTAATATTATCAAATTTTAGCTTCATGATTAAAAAAATACCAATAATTTAAATTATATTAATTCTATAATTTTATATAATTATTATTATAAATTTAATTCTCCAATAACTAATAATATTAACACATTTATTAAATTAAAAATCTTTATTTTAATTAATTATTTTGATTTTTTTTTAAATTTTAAATAAAAACGATAAAACTTAAAATTAATTTCTAACTAAATCTTCACATATTTATGGTTAATAGTATATTATATTATTATGTTTAATTAAATTTTAAAATAAGTTCACTTAATCTTTACACTTTTATAAAAATACTAATATAAACTTAAAATATTTATCCAATTATTAAATTATTTAAAATATTAATATAAATTTAAAATATCAATTCAATAATTAAAATAATTTTAATTTTTTTATAAATACATTGAAATACATTTTTATTAACATAAAAGTAATATATATATATATATATCAAAAAGAGACTAAATTAATAATTAATTTAATCATTGATTATATATATAAAAGAGACTAAATTAATAATTACTTTAATCATCGAGTCGATGACCGATTCGGTGACTAATTTAATAATTAATTATAATTTTTTTATTCACATACTAAATTAAAAAATAAAATCAAATAATTATATTACTAAATTATTTAATAAGTTAATAAACTATTTTTTAAAATTTTTATAATGTTATTAAAATTTTTATCAATTATTTTAAATTATTAAGTAGATTTATATTTAATATATTATTAAAATATTTTTAAAAAATATTTATATAAATAAAAAATGGTCACTAATTTATATATTATTTGTTTAGTGACTGAAATTTTAGTCACTAAATCGAGTCACTATATATAAAAAGAGAAATCAGTCACTAATTCGAGTTACTATTAGTAACTGAATTTTTCGATTACTAATTTCGATCACTATTAATCATTTTTCTAGT